CTGCAAGACAAAGAAAAAGAAAAAAGAAAATTGATATGAGAATTTTTTCCACCAAAAAAAAAAAAAAATAAAACTATGAGCGAGAAAAAATAAATGAAACATTGAAAATATATATATATATTTTTTTTTTCATCTAATGCCACGACAAAAAAAAATTTCATCTTTTTTATTATTTTATTTTTTTTTGGAATATTCATTTTCCCTCTCTCTCTCACTCTCCCTCTCGATTCAATTCGTTCGAAAAAAAAAATAAAAAAAAACGTACGAGAATATTATCCGAGAAAATAGCAGAAGATTTTTATTTTTTATTTTTCGCGCCAAAATTTCTTACTAATTACCCGAACCTTTTTTTTTTTTTTTTAATAATTTTTTTTTACATAAAAACAAAAAATCTACCACGATGACTTTTTATTTTATTTTTTTTCTTCTTCTTCTTCCGGTGTCGTCCATTTTGTTATTCCGATAAAAAATGTTTTTTTTTTTTAGTAATAATAATAATGATAATGATAATAATAATAATTTTCAATTAAATTATTTGTCTGGAGAAAAAAAAGAAAAGAAAAGAAAAGAAAGAGAAAATTGAAAACATTAAAAGAAAACCTGGAAGTAAGTTGTAAAAAAAAGAAAAAAAATTATTTTATAGCAAATAAATAAAAAACGCTATAAAAAGAAAGGTTTTTTATTATCATTATTATTACTATTTCTATTATTATTATTATTATCATTATCATCATTGCACAAAAGTAAAAATCATATTTAAAAAAAAAAAAAAAGAAACGAAAGGATAAAGACGAAGAACGAAAATAAAAAAAAATTTTTTTTTTTTGTTTAAATAGCGATTATAGCGGAAATGACGACGACGACGACGATGATAATAATAATAATAATAATAATAATAATAGTAATAATAATTGTTATTATTTAAACGACTGTAACGCGCTATAACCCGAACGAAAAATAATGATAATAATAATTTTTCAAAAAAAATGAGGAGGGAAGGGAATAATTTTCGTTTTTCCGATTCCTTCCTTTTGTAAAAAAATTGTTATTAATTTTATTATTATTATTATTATTATTATTATTATTATTATTATTATTATTATTATTATTATTATTATTTCGTTTTCTCAAGGAATTATCGCACAATAATAATTTCTCCACTATGACTTTTCCAATCGCTCGAAGCAATAAAAAATAAAATGAAAAGAAAAGAAAAGAAAAACGTTCGGACGACGATAACCGACCGACAAACGAACAAAAAAAAAAATGGAAGAAGTGGTAGCAGAAGACATAAAATTGGCAGGTCAAACCGACAGGAAGGAAAAGAAAAAAAAAAAATTTTTTTTTTTTCCTTTTTTCAGAGATTTTCAACCCCGGAAATTCGTCTCCCACCTCCCAAAATTGAATTTTTCATCGTTTTACTCTTTCCTTTTATCTCCCATTCATTTTCCAGTCCTCCTCCTCCTCCCCCTCCTTTTCCTACTCCTTCTACTCCTTCTCCTGCCACTACTGCCCTTTCCTAAAGTGGTTTCCATAAAAAAAAAAAGTCAAGAATCGATTTCACTTGAACTTGGCAAAAAAAAGGAACAAAGGTGACTTTAATTATACATCATCATCATCATCATCATCATCATCATCATTATTATTATCATTTTTTTTGATTTTTCCATTGGCAGGACTTAACACTCGAAATAAAAATACAAAAATTTACATAAGTTAAATAAACACAATCGAAATTACGTAGTCGCATTCATGCGAGTAAAAAAACGAAACGATTCCAAAAATTTTTTTTTTTTTTTCCGGGAACGATACGACGACTCACCGGAAACCGGATATAAAAGGGAGGTTACGGAGGGAAAGGGAGAAAAAAGAAAAAAACCCGTTAAAACATTTTTTTTTCCAAACGAAATCAAATTACGACGATTTTTTTAAAACAATAATATTATATTAAAAATAATCGTTTATAATCTTTTCGTTTTATTATTATTATTTTGACTCATTTTCTGTTGCCACGACGATTTTTACGCATTTTTATACATTTATTTAATTAACGTTTTAGTTTAAAAAAAAAAAAAAAAAAAACCGATAATGGCTTGTAAATTTTCATATCACATAATTAATCATTATTTTTTTTATAAAAATAAAAATAAAAGTTTTCAAAACGGAAGTGAAAAATCGTTAAATAAAACGGAAATGAATTTTTTTAAATTAAAAACCACCCCCAACCACCAAACCCCCCCCCCAAATAAAAAATAAAAATAAAAATGTAAACAAAAAATCGATAATTAATTTTTTTTTTTTTCTTTAACAAAATAAAAATTCGGGTTAATGTATTTTTCATAGGTCGTGAACAATAATAATGATAATAATAATGATGATGATGATAATGATAATTAAATAAATTTATCGCCATTTTCTCAAACGATTTCGAAGAACGACAGGAAGGAAGTACAAATAATAAAAAAAAGTAGCAGAAGGAAAATAAGGAATTCAATTTCAGTTCGTCCAAACAAGAACAGACCTATACCTACATAAGGGGGGTAAGTGGCCTAGAACCCTTTCGAGGCATTGGGGATGAACCGACCCTTGTTTCGTGGGGATGAAACTGGGTACTTGATCCAAATAGGGAAAATGCGGAGCTACAACGTGAAAGGAAAACGGATGAACGATCAACGGGATTCAGGACCCTGAACATCTCTCTCTCTCTCTCTCTCTCTCTCTCTCTCTCTCCCCGGAACTCGCAGACTTTAGAGACAGGAAAGATGATGGCAGCTCGGAACTGTCTCTCTAAGGGTAAAAAAGAGGAAGTACCGGGATTTTCGCCAAGTGGGATTTCCACCCTCGCGAGTGTGGGTCTGATGGTTCTGTCTCAGGACGGGGTTGAACTCGGAAACACCCCTCCTCCCGGAAAGAACACGATGAAACACGTCCAGGAGATTTAGTTGGGTAGTGGCTTCGCCTGAGTCCTCCTCCCACTCTCCCAACTACCGCGTTGGGGAAATTAGTACAAAATGCGTTTCTCCTAGGGTAACAAAAAAAAAGCTAGCAGAAGAAAAATAATGAAAAAAATAAAAATAATAATAATAATGACGATGAAGATGATGATGATGATAATAACTAAATAAATTTATCGTTAAAACGATTTAGAAAAGCGACAGAAAGGAAAGATATAAATAATAAGAAAAAAAAAACAGGTAGCAGAAGAAAATATGGGAAAAAATTAATAATAATAATAATAATAATAATAATAATAATAATAATAATAAAGAGAAAATCGAATTTTAAGCGGTTAAAACGTTAAAATTTAATTTTATTGTCGCGTTCGAATATTAATAACGAATGCGGTTAATTATGTAAATTTCCCGTATGTAACAATATACTCGCGTTATTTCATTTTATAATCATTTCAACCCTAAGAAAAGGGATTGTTGTTGTTGTTTGTTTGTTTGTTTTTAAATCCTTTGAGAAAGGAATAATTTCTTCAATTTTAACTTAAATCGTAATTGATTCCGATTAATAATAATAAATTAATAATTTCGAATGAATTAAAATACAAAACGTAAATCCCGTATTGAATTTCTAACGCAAAGTGGAAATTTTTTTTTTTTTTTTTTTTTTTTTTTTT